CTTACCAACACACGTCCAGCCAAAACACGTTTGCATTGTATTCTGGCCTCCCAAGAATGTGCCTCTGGGAGACAGACTTTACTCTCAGCAATATATATCCATCTACGCAGCAGTTTGCTACATTCCTATGCAGGGAGAAGGCACCCAAGAGGGCCCAAAACTGCACAACAAGGTAAGTGGTATGCTGTAATATATTTAACAATAGATAAGCCAGAAAAACAGAGAAGGGGAAAAACTCAGTCCTCAGCAGAGCTCTACTGATTATTATGAACCAGAAAGGAGTATTTCTTTTGCTTCACCCTACATAAATCACTGTGAATTATCTGCAAACCTAGCCAAAAACTGTTTTCCATGAAATCCTGGGGGGAAAGCCTTTAAGAAATCCAGCTACAACAGCTACAGTTCTATTGGCAATCGTTCCTCTTTTGCTCTGTTCCTGCCATTATTTACCTCTTATATTTAACGTTCATAAAGCGTTCGGGGGATAAGCAGTCAGTTTTGAAAAACACCTTACAAGATAAAGTCATATTAAAGCTATTTCACTTGATGGGCTCATGCTGGCTTAGACAGAACCAATACACTGGGGACACGCAATCCTAGGCTATAATAATGTTTTACATTTATATACTGCCTCTCACCCAGAACTCCAGAATTTATAATATATGAAATGCCAAAGAATGACAAATGTAAACTGCACAGCAGAGAACACAGGTATGTTCGGCAAAGATACTGAGGTAGATCCTACCTCTCCCAAGGAATTTCATGGCAGTTCTCATACCTGCACTAACCAGAACTCAATGGGCCAGTAAACAGACATGCACCTGGATTGGAGGTGTGTTCCTTGCTTTGTCATCGAGAATGGTTTGGTTAGAAAAGCTGCTCAGTACCTAAGCATCTGAAATTCTCAATTTGTAAAGCAGAAATTACATTCCAATTCAACATCAGAGTCAGCATACTACCTTAACGTAAGATTGTAAAAAAATACATGCAACAGCGCATTCCAGTTGATACGGAACTATGAGCTGTCCCTCAAATATCTTCTGTAAAGCCACTTGGTCCCGCAGTGATGATCCAATGAAAGATATCACTGAAGTGGATCCGAGTAAGATCGTTTGACAGGACATGTCCTTATGGGAACAGCCCAGGTAACATGCTTACCATGTTGAGAGCACCTTCCCACCTGTCACTGGCGCAACATTAGCCTGCACAAAAATATCCCTCAAGGGCACAGTGAAGTCCAAAGAACATCTAAAGCATAAGAAACTGATTGTTCTCTAACCATTTACCACAGGATGATAAAGGCCTCTCACCACTGCCCTAGAATGCCCACGCTATCTTTGCCAAAGCTAAAATGTGTATCAGATATTTCACCTGATGAGCTCTGAGGTCAAGTTAACTGGATACAAACTCCACAATGGAGGATAATTAACAATCTACTTAGTGGCCGCTACATATTCAACCCAACACCTCAAGATAGTGATGGCTTAGCCAAATCAGGTACCACACCTAAGGCAGGGCTACCAGCAAACCAAGGGTCGCAAGATATCAGACACCACACAAGCCACCAAAATTATATCAAACAGCGTACAACTTAACAGCTTGCATTACACAAGCTGGATGATCTGATTCCCTCTGAGACTTCACACCTCCAGAGATGTGACGCAGTAGGCACGCTGTCCATCCCACCAAAGCCCCTCTGCATGACTGACAGCCATCCCCCGGTTCAGATCGGCACCCACCAACGATTCGGCAGCTGCCAAAGAATACTTGACCTGGTCTGCCCCAAAAGGGGTGATGTTGGCCTTGACCGACCCGACGCCCAGCCCCACGAGGACCAGTCCGACGAAGGTGGCGGTGGCACAGTAGCGGGTGGCTCCCACCTGGGAGCAAGGCGCCATGGTGGCATTGGCCGCCGGAGAGGAGCAGTTCTCTACAGGGAACAAGGGGATGTCCCCGCAGAGGCCCTGGCGGGTGTGCGGTGCGGCGATGACGGGGAAGGCCAGCATGCCCAGCAGGTAGAGCGCCATGCTGAGCAGGATGGTGCCAAACTTGCCCAGGAGGGCGTCAGCCAGCCAGCCA